GAAAGAAGTCGAGCGACGAAAAGCGCAGTTTGTGCTCGCGACTGAGGATTTGGCTTGGTAAGTCCACCACAAACCGCTTCCGTGTAATTCTCAAGGGAAGTCTGAACAAGAATCAGTGCAAATTTGAAAGACACGGCCCTTACGTTAACATCGGTTGTTCGCCAGCGCTTACCAAGGGAGGGCTCCGACTTCTAATGGAGACGTAGGTGGTAGGCTACTGAGTCTAGAACGCTGGTAAGGAACACGAAGAGCAAAACTGCAATCTCCCAGGATATATAAGTTTTACGGATGGTAGCATACGAGTTCGTTCTCTCCTCTGCATGAAAATTTTTGCACATGGTGTTTTGTAGGCAATAAAAGTGCTTATTATAATTCTCGGGCCAGGACATCGCATTGGTCGTTCGCACTTCCACAACTGGACTCCTTGCTGACAGCTGACGGGTTTCGTAAGTAAAAGCAGTAGTACCTACTAGATTCGCGTTTCGGTTCCATATTTGAAAGCAGCGTTCTAGACTCTATCTATCTGTGTCTCAATTCCCATTCTATGGAAGTTTGAAGCCCTCTCGGTAGTAAGTGAAGTAGATAATTCAAACACGTTGAACAAGAAAGACGGGAAGAACAAAAATGAAATACCGTAGTAGCAGATGAATCGCATAATTCAACTAGCTCATTTCGTAACACAGCCTTTTTCTCTTTCAGTTTATCGAATGCTATCGGCATGACCTAAATCTGTGATTAAAATCCAGAAACTGTGCACAAATTTAATGTGTCTAAATAAAATTCACAAACCTTTGGAACCATCACAGCGAAATCCGTACGCATGCTTACAGCTAATTTCGCTAAGACTTTGGCACAACCACTGCTCACATTTAATGTTGACATCTTTTTCCAGTACCTGCAACTCGTCAAGTTATAAAACTCAAAACATCTTTACTGAACGAGAGAATGTATACAGGGACCAATCTAGAGAGATTATGGTAGGGCTCTAATGACGAAAAGTGGAACGACAATAACTTGAAGACAGGGAGTATGCAGCAAATCAAAATAAGTCATGGCGCAAAGAAACGCGTCTAACAGATTCACAAAACATTTTCAGACATTTTCCAAAAGCGGAATTTCTAGTCAGCTTTGGCCAGAGTGATAATTCCTCGCTGAATCAATTGATCAACGAAGTCATTAAATCGACCGCCAGTAATTATTTCTTATAGTACCTTAATAGTCGTCGTAGACTAGCTAGCAATTCAGATGACATCTCTCACGTGGTCACATTCCATTATCGAAACAGACTAAGCCATTCAGCCTCCTTCCGCGCTCTCTCCATTTTTTGATGCTATCTGAAAGAATGGCGTCACGTATAGTAGAAGGAATTTTAATTTAAAAAAAACTACCAGCTCATCGAAAATCCTTTCTCAGTTTCCACGACATTTGTTGGATCCATCAAAGTCCAAGGGTCAACGTCTTCTGGATGAGCTGGCGCTGCTGTCCCAACTTCCTCTGACTTAAGAAAAGCTTGAAGAACAGTGAAAAAAAAACTCTCCAAGTCGTTTCAGAACTTCTGAGCTTCGATGTTCAATGTGACATTTAGTAATTAATAGTAACAAAGCAAAACACGTTTGTCATTTGATTGTCATCAATACTGACAAAGTTAGGCGAGGTTCAGGATCCTTCACATGCTAGCATTAAGGCGTCTTCCGCTAAGAGAACAAAAATCCTTCAACAACCTTCGACAAACACCAAAAAAACTTCTCTTTGCCTTTCCAACAGCTATCACCCTAGGGAAGGCATATTTGTAATGTATATATGTATGCGTGTCAAATCAAACAAAAGCGGGAAGTAAGGAGACAGCGTCGATGAAAACAAATAAATTTGAAAGTCCCTCTCTTTCCCCTAATCTAGGGAAGATACGGCCCAGATGAAGGGTGATGCATGTAGTCGGGAAAAGGTGATCAAAACTTGAAAGTTGAGCTTCTGGGAGATACAAGGCGAATACTTTAGCCCTCAAGCTGAATGCGCTCACTAAACGGTACGCTACCGTCATGCGCAATCTCATGGGGGCCGCTTCACACTTCCTTAAATCATTCCCACAATGTATTAACGAAGATAAAAGATGTTCGCTGACACTATGAAAAAACTCAAACCGTTTGACTCAGACAGGTATCGCTCAGACGGCATAGCACTAGTCGTTCCTTTGTGTGTGCGCACTTACTGAGAAAACTCCTCATGCTAGCTTGTCGCCCGAGTACTTCTTCCCTGGAAAAATATGCCAAATATATCTCACCCCAAAAAAATGACCGATGTATTTTACAAATGTTCTATTCGTTGCACTTATAATCAAGCTCGGAAAAAGGCTGACACAAAACAATTCCATTGAAAATGAGCAAATGACAACGACAACACAATGAAAAACTGATGGTAAAGCTTACTTTGTCCAATTTATGCACCTCTTTCGATGGATATTGCTAGGCAAGGAACGGCCAGTCCAGAAGCACTTCCCCAAGAAGTCGCACATGCTGGACCCGAGGGTATCGCAGGCCGCCATCACGTGACAGGAACGCGACGTCCTAATCCGGTAACGCGAGCTAGAGGGACTGATGCATGAGGATAAAATCCGAAAATACACTTCCTGATACCAAGGAATTGCAAACTCGAGTGCCGTAACCTTTTACAAAACAAACCACGGGGGGCAAAAACCCAGTCATTTGGCAACAATTCCTAACTGCAGGAGTATTGTGCTCGCCAAATCGAAATAGCGACGTTCAAAAACCACACGAGGCACATCCAGTTCCTCGACTGAGGATTAGGCTTGGATAAATGTTCGCACAGATCCTTGGTGAGACGATCAGTAGCACACTGAAAAGATGGAAAGCTCAGGAATCAACGAATTACGAAACAAAGTCAGCAGATTTCAAAGCCAACACACCACATCCGAAATAGCGTCGAGAGCCTGACCGACTGCGGTACGAACGGTGACCTTTTTATCCTTAGATTTATCAAGAATAGGTGCCCATAACTGGAAAGAGAACCAGTTATTTCGACTGGCCACAGCAAAATATAAGAAATGCAGAAATAAGGAAGGAAAATATAAGAAATGTGGGATAGGCCGAAAGCAGCAAGAAAAACTTGAGTTACCTACGTGTTTTGATCAAACAACAGCACCTCCCTCAGGTTTACGGAAAAATTTTGCGTCAAAACATTTATCAAAGATGAACGAAAAAAAACGAAATTAGCGGAGATCTCATGAAACTACAACCACAAACATTGAGTTAAAGAAAGGTGACCCACCATTGAGACAAAGCAACCAAATCGGTCTCTGAGTCCGTTGGCCAGCTTGGCAACCACTTGTAAAGCAACAATGACAACATTAATGTTACTATCAAGGGCAATAATCTGGAAATTCAACCCGGTGTAATTCCCATCACAAACACACGTTGCTGACTTTGAACGCACCTTTTTTAAATTATCCATCAGCTCTCCATAAATAGTCATCGATGCGGTTGATAATCGAGGATTTTTCTCGAGTAGATTCGATAATACCTTGAAAAACTGCGATTTGAGAATATCGAAGCGAAAGAAAATTCGTCCTGAGCTTGATCTTATGATGTTCTTTTCCCTCTATGCGCTATTATATGAACCTAATGCATGGGTCTATTAGTGCGTTTGGCAGTAATCCAGTCTGTATATTGTCTAACATCCATAAAATGATAAGGTGAGGGAGTTTATGGAAAAGACCAACCGCTCACAAAACTGGGTAGCCTAGAGGGCCTACAGTGTCAATGTTTGATGATGGCATGGTTGTGATAGAACCCCCAGCTGCTACACAGACACCCACTGAGTTAACTTTCGGTCATTCCAAGCGGTGCAGAAGCTGCGTGTGGAGATAAAGAGGGTGATGGCAAACCAATTGACAGCAAAACTAGAAAGTAAAGAGCAGAGTCCAAACATCTAAGGGCGCTTTAATGTGTTGACATCCCCCTATCATAAACGACAACGACTTAGTAATCGCAATAACACTAAAGCGCAAAAACGTCGCGAATGGATATTGGCACACGGGAGGGAGTAAGGCGCATGCAGATAAAGTAGATTCCTGCTGCCGGACAATACCCTTAGCATTTAACAGTGCCCAGAAGATCCATAACTTGGAAGAAACTTGATATACTTATAGACATAGCCAGAGAATACTGTTCTTCTACGACCATAACGGCCAGAAAACTGGATAACCTTCACTAACCTCTAGTGCCTCTTTTCGTTCCTGCCATTTCGCCGACTCGACGTTCTTTTTGTGCTCATTAGGCCAAAGAGCAATCACGTCAACCTCATCCAATAGATCCCATTCATCCATTGAGAGCCTAAGAAAATCAATGACAGCAGAAGGACGTTGTCGCGGGGCTAATTAGTCACGGATACCACCATAATCCCTCCGAAAACGTGGAGCGGAGGAAAAAAACACCCCATTCGTAGCAATTTTTCCTCAGACAGCCATGGATTTGACTTGGCTTTCCTTTTTAGGAAATGGATGGCTTACAGCGAAGAAGTAGGGATAAACACACGGGTCACAGAGTGGATGTGAATTGAGCCTTAGCTTGATGATTGTGCTACTGAGATTATTTCTTGTCACGCCAAAAGCAAGGAAAATTAAATGATCTAATTAATTAATTTAATCTTAGATGATCGAGAGTGTGACTCCCAAAAGTATAATGAGAAGAATGGATATACACTCTATGAGGGGTCATCGAAACTGGCAAAACTTACTTTCTAGAAGAGTGTCAAGCCAACTTTCATTCCCTTTCTACAGAAATTCTACGAAGTCCTGTCCTATATAGAACACTACATCAATGAAGGCACTTACTACGGCATTCAATGAAATGATTTTGTGATAATAAAGCTTACGCCCGAGGCGCACCAAGCGCAGCAAAGTGAGATCGAACATCCGGATCAATGAAAGTTATGAAAGCACAGGACTGACCCCACACTGACTTCCACCAGTCACCAATAAAACGAAACAACTGGAACAAAGAAAGAAAAGTCTGAAGGCGTATTCACGTCGAAATTCATCGCGTAAAGGAGGACAATCGTAGAAGAAAGCACAGCAGAAGAAACTACCTCTCGCTTCACTCGAACACGAAACTACCTCAAATGCCTTTTACCCATGAGCAAACTGACAAGCTGCTACCCAACAATCAATCTCCGATGAAAAAAAATTTCCGAAAACTACCCCTTTTCTATCTATCGATACCTTCAGAGCTAGAAAAGGCTAGAGATGGTTGTAAAGCATGTGGCGCGGGCATACTCCATGCAGTAAATTGAAGGATGACGAAACCTTTGCGGAAAAAATGCCAACGGATTGGGAAACAATGGCCTCCACGAAAGGGTTAAAGATGCTGCCTAGCAACACTAGCTATGACTCAGCATGCTAACTTCAGACAAAAAGTGAAGAGAGCTTCATATTCTTGGTTTATTCGGGAAATTACTCTCAAAGAAACAGTATAAAAATTACTCTCAATATCATCCCTGAGCTGAGCCTCTATAGGGACGAAGCCTGCTTTTGTTCATATGTTTAAAAATGGTGAACCCATAGAGTCAAGGTGAACTCTAGCTGCCAAAAAAGTTAAGCAGGTATTATTAATGTGAACGTAAGTTTTCCCATATGTATTTTCAACCGAGCACAACAGACATCTAAAACAATGGACCAGCAATTAGGACGCATAAAGCCATTTATTAAGTGTAAAAAGGAACAATAAAATCAACAACTTCAACATGTGTCATAGCACGAACTGACAGGAGCAGCTCTTTTTGCTGAAACTGCAGACTACAGAAGATCATCGCGTAGGAGAGAAATTAGACAGCATTGCATTGGACAATAAGAACAGGCAAACTGAAGGGCATGACGCAACGCCGACAGCCGGAAAATTGTAAAGGAAGTATGTTGAGAACAGCGCCGATCACTGAGGCATTTCCTCTTGAGGACCATTTGGTTGCGTCTTCTTCGTCCCGGACACAATGTCATCAATGCGAAGCAGCATGATCTGTATCATATGAAAGGTAGTTTTTGAATGGAAAATATGCCTGTTTCATTAAAAAAAGCGTATCACGGAATTATAAGAATGCACCCAACGCTGGGATAAAGTGTCTTCGACACGAGTGCGCATGAAAAGCAAACGCATGCACATCAGTTATAAAAAGAAATTTTCGTTTGAGACATTTTTCTATTTGCAGAAAAAACGTCAACCTCGGAGACTAGAAACGAATTAGCTTAACAAACATTTTCTATGAAAAAAGAGTGCTTCGGAACTCTAGAAGAGAAAGCATATCTCTACTGAGGAAAAAGGGCCCCGATAATGTGAGAAGCGAAAAAAAACGCTGGAGAGGAGATCGACCTTGGGTTGCGCAATAGCATAGAAATAGGAGAGTGACTCAGGTACCCATTCAGCAATGTTTTCTAGTCAAGCAACATCGCAGATACAACTATTGCCACATTTGGCGCTGACGTGCAATTTGGAACCGCTCCAAGATATGCAGAGGAATAAGCAAAGAACCCAACTAAGGTGTTTCGCATACGCGCGAATAACGAATAACTTGTTGAATCAAGGACTTGAAAATCAATGAAAATACAATGAGAATGAAAGATAAAGAAAAAACAATACGAGTTTCCATGCAGTTTTCAACACCTCCCCACAGTGAGCGGATCCCAAATGTCCAACTTACACATGTCCACCTAAATAACGGAAGTTTTCCTCGAAGTAGCACTGCGCCTGCTGAACAATAGAAATGAAAGTACAAAAAGAGGCAGTTTAAGTTTACCAATTCGCCCGTTGTTCCATTGATTCCCCATGTCCAATTTTCAGCATTCTGCGCATGTTTTGCACGAAGCGCAGTCAGCTGACGAATTGTGTTTCCGGCGCAGTTTTGGATGAGAGTGCGGGGAATCACCGTAATACTCAACTGAGGAATCTACACATTTATTTCATGCGTAAGAAGGTGTGGCTAGCAGTAGATTGGCGTGTAAACAAAGCAATCTTCGATTAAATATCACAGTGCCTTTTGGAAGAAATGCGGATTGAAGTTAAAGCATAAAAGGATAAAGCATTTGCCGTTGATCAATCCCTTTTTGGGATGCGGCACGCATTCTACTTCCATTTGTACATTCGTAGTGGCGTTTGAATGCGATGTGGCCTACAATGACTTGCGGGGCCAGCCGATGTACAAGTCAGTGTTTTTATCCTCCCAGACAAGTCTGGTACCAATTAACCGACCCCGGAGGGATGGAAGGCTTGGTTGGCCCGGGCGACTCACGACCCAGGATTTGATCCCCGGACCGCTCGCGTGGTAAGCGTGCCACTTGCCACTACACCACTTCCGCCCTTAAGCGTAATAACTATATCCATACATTAACTTTGAGCTGATACAAACGAGATTCGATCTGTCACACAGGCTTTTTCTAAACAGTTACCTCGAGTGCTCTAGCGATCGCTTTGTAAGGCCATTGTCGGACTCCTTCCATCGATTTTCCCTTTTCGGTGATAGCCTACAACAGATGTTTTACCAGACGATGTAAAAGACTATCTCAGCACATCTGACTGTTACCTGCGCAAGAGCCATTTCCAAAGCACCACCCCCAGGAACCAGTCGAGGATTCAACATAATGTTCCTGACTACGTGCAAAGAATCTTGGAGATTGCGCTCTACCTGTAAAAAACAACAATGAAGAAACTAATTTTTGAACTCCCAAAGAATTTAACAAAAACATTTTCGAACGAAACTTCATTTGCTCAAAATTTGCATGACAAACCTCGTTGATGACGTCCTTTGATGGTCCTCGGAGGCAAATTGTACAGGCAGTGGTTTTCTCCGATGTCACATAAGTGTAGTACCTGAACAAAGCGGAACAATGAACTACACAGGTAACTCAAAAAACGGAAAAGCCATTCCAAAAAGCGCTAATGTAAAAATATAACTAACTCGTCGCCAATTTTCAAGATCTCGAAAAGGTCGGCCTGGGTGCCCACATCCGACTCACGCAGGTCTGTTGTATCATTGACTATACGAGCACCACACACCCTTTAAAGTATGTACATCAGAAAATTTCATGTACGAATACACAAGCTGTCAAAGTTTGTACGGAAATATTATAACGAAGGTACCAGCAAGTACTCACATTATGTTACATTACTCTTAGCGGCAACAAGAGAAAGTTCATAGCATGAATTGAAAGAAACGAAAAATTATACAGTTGCCAGTTTATTTTTGAAAACTGAACCACTATTTCAAATGAACAACTATGACACCGTACTATGCCAACAACTAGCGCCAGCAATGCCCATTTATGTGCACTTGAATAAGGAGTGGTAGCCAAAATAATCGAGAAAGGGGGTGTAAGGCCAGGGAAGAAGCGACTTTTTCGCTTTCCACAGCGCTCGCAGTGAAAAATGTTCACGCTACGGGAAGCGAAGAAGTGGCTTTCGTCCTAGCAAACCACACATGTGAAAAAAGAAAACAAACCTCGCCAATCTGTTGTTATCAGTTTTCTTCAGACGTCTGATGGCCGTAATACCAGCTTTAAGGAGGAAATGCTGAGCCAAATCAGAAACTCCTTTTTCAGTGAAGACTAGGTCTGGCTTCACGCTGATGATTTCATCGCATTGTTTGCGAATCGACTCTTCCTCCTAAATAAATGAATATCTGTTAATGGGAGATCGGAAGGAAACAAAAGAATCTACAAAAATTAACGGAGAAGGAGGTTCGCATTCATTTTGTTTTGATAACTGCTGCTGTTTGCTTTATTTGTTATTCGTATTTTATTCAAAAGGTACTAACTATGTCACAGCGTGGCCCAAATGAAAACTGATCTGAGTATGAGCATGACAGCTAGAACGATATACATCGAGATTATTTAAACTTTTTTCTCCGGCCGCTGTTTGGTAAGAGCACAAGCGATTTCTCAGAGCGGGCGTCGAGTCGACTATCGATATAATTGTTGGTTAATGAATTTAAGATTACAGTATTTACGAGCCGCATTTACGGCGAGGACAGGAGAGGCTCAATCGAACGATCTAGATCAGATGACCAAGTTCAGCATAGGCTGTATTTTGCCAGAGAATCGACATGTTCGGAATTTGAAGGAGGGTAAGGAAGTAGGAGGAAAAACGAAGTTTTGCGGACTCAAAGGTTATCAGCCACCAATCTCATCCTCCCACGATTACGTTTATCCGCAATTCGAAAGATCTTGTGGGCAGGAGTGGTGTGCGGCAGGACTCGGTAGCTTTAACGATATACTGACACAGCGACCAAAGGGGCGCCGTAGTAATCAGAGTGCGGGAGGGATGAGATCGTTTTCATTAGATGTAGTGGCGATTGATTTAGTTTCATAAGAAAAATCAAAACTGTCATGGACATTTCCTCGACGTGACATTGTCCATCCTGCCCCAAAACTCGATACACATGTGTGGGCAAACACGTACCAGAAGGCTTGGTGTCGATGTCGCGATCCGTAGCAGGTCCCGCCTTTTTCACGCGATTCATCGCGACTTCTGCAATTTTGGCGTTGCCGGTTTGGGGATTTCACGCGTGATGGTGAATAAGACGCTCATGGAGGTCCACTTGTTATATTCAGTGCTCCAAATGTTCAATACGACAAATCAACCAACACAAAAACCAAAAATCAGAGACAGCACTTGTAATTTTGGCAATCCGTCGAGGGTTCGCGCATATCGCGGATGGCGGGATCGACGCCAAATCGCGCGAAATCAGGAAAACCGGCGACGGATCGCGGGACCCTGGACACACAGCACGAGAAGTCTGAACAGAACAAAAACAGGCATACCTGCTCCAAAATTCTGCTGATATCTTCTTCTTTCATGATCTCCAACGAGGTCTGAGATTCTCCTTTTTTATATTCCAAATTGCAGTCGAGCAAAACGATTCGAGGATGTTCAATACGTCGACGCATTTTAGCATGAGTGACATCCTGAAGAATGAAATACCCGGATGATAAAGAACAGAAGAGATATGAGCAGATGAAGAGCATCGAGCATACCTTGTTAAGAACAACTCCCTTGATCACTCTGCAATCTTCAATAGTCCCTCCGGGAATTTTCTCTATACGGCAATATCTGAAAAAAAAACTGCACTGACAACATGCTCACCAAAGTGAAAAGAGGAATGGCAAAACGATGTATTACAAGTGCCGGAAAACGGATCACTCACGGCATCTTCTGTGCCATTCAACATACTTGAAAGAAAATTTAATTTAGTGAGCTTTGAAAGTTCCCAACCGCGAATGCCATCCCTCACTCCCATTATTACGCCAGCCCTGGCGTCACTCAAAGAAATTGAGCAAAGTTCACCTTTTAATATCAATTTCACTTGAATTCCCTTTATCGACTCGGATAGTCTTGACTGCATCCAATGATATCTGCACGGCAAGGTCCATCCATTTGCTCAACATTTTAGTTCCCAAACATGATTTGACAACGGAAGTGATCTTGAAAAAAAGACGCTCAGGATTCAGCTCAATGTTTAGGAGGGAATGAGTATTCTAACCTCTTTGTCATTATTGACGTCGATTGACCTGCTATACTTCTCTTCAGCCAGTTTAATCATGTCTTCTAAGGCAGCACGATAAGCCTGGAAGGCAAAGATGTGAAATCATCCACTAGCATTAGTGGTATCGCTCATAGAACTGCAATGACCACTACTTCATCAGCAACAAATCAGAAAATTCATGCAACAATGCTCGATCCTAGGAGCTGAAGATATTTCAGGAAAAGCTAGATTGCTTGCAATATTTTTACCTGAATTATAATAGTTGGGTGGATTTTTTGCTCCAAAAACTGTTGAGCTTGGGCCATGACCTCTCCAGCGAGGACTATTACAGATGTTGTTCCATCACCCGTTTCCTCATCCTAAACTCGTAAAGAATGAAAATGGAGTTGTACGGTATAACGACAGATGTGAATCGGTGCCATAGTGTGTTCATGACGATGTTTTCTTTAATAGCAAAAGGACAAACGGTCTTCTAACCTGAGTTCTGGCAATTTCGATCATGCTTTTAGCCGCAGGATGCTTGACGGTGATTTCTCTGAAAAAGTTCAATCCTCAACTACTGAACAGATTCATCATTAGGGCAAAAATTAAAAGGGACCTTAAAATTGCATTGCCATCATTGGTCATGACAATTCCACCCATAGGATCCATCAGCATTTTCAACATCGCCCTTGGACCCAAACTCGTGCGGATGACATCAGCAATGGTCTAAGAAATTTTTTTGTTACCACTATGGTATATACCAGCGCGAAAATTTAACCAATGGAAACAAATCAAAGCCTCACGGCAGAAAACTGAAGAGTAAAAATTGAAAAATATTTCTCAAAAGGAAAATAATGGCACAGGCTGTTGTTTGAGTCGAAAGATGCTTACCTTACACGCTGTAATATTACCGATTTGTACTTGATGACCAGATTCTCTTTTTGTGCCTTGACTAAGCACGATGATCGGCTGCTGACCCGCACCACGCATCATCTTTACCCTGAAAGAAACTCAAATCAAACAAACGTTTTCAAGCCATTTTATAGCGGTGATGAATACTTATCGATGGTATAAGCAATAGCACAGCGAAATATAGAAGTCGGCATTACATATAACGATAATTAGAAGGGTGAAGTATGTACGTGAACGCGTAGGGTTCAGCAAGTAACAATGCGGAGTTTTATTAGTTTTTCAGTTTCAGTTTCATGGATAACTCCGCCCTTTGGTCCTGCCCCGCCCACCAATGACAGTTGGGCTCCACTCCTCCACCCACCTCTATCCACCTTTTTCCCGGCCTCCGGGCTTCTTGGAGCCGAGTTACAAATTTCGTCGCAAACTCCGCCCACTTTGGCGCACGCTCCACCCACCATAGCAGTTGACCTCTCTTCCTTGTGGACTCAATCCACTTTTTCCCGGTCTCCTGGACTTCTCGGAACTAAATTATAATTTAGGGCAAACTCCGCCCACTTGGTGCACGCCCCACCCACCAATAGCAGTTGACCTCCCTTTCCGTTGACAAACTCAATCCACTTTTTCCCGGTCTCCAGGACTTCTTGGAGCCGAGTTATGAATTTTCGTCGCAAACTCCGCCCACTTTGGTCATGCCCCGCCCACCATTGACAGTTGGCCTCCACTCCTCCACCCACCTCTATCCACCTTTTTCCGGCTCTCTAAGACTCTCGGACCGAATTATGAGGACTTGTAGAAAATGCTGTACACTTCAGAGCGCGCTCCGCCCATTGTGGGCGGGCCTCCGCCACGTCATGTATGCTGGGAACACCTTAGACATTGCTCCCCTACACCAATTTGTTTTCTGCTCTGTAGGCTTTCTCCCAACCGAGTTATGAATTTTTTTTAAGCACTGCTTTTTGGAGAACGCCCCGCCCACCGGGGGTGGGTCTCCCTAATTCGATCTGACTTACCAATGCACACCTTTACCTACTTTTTCCCCCAGTTTCGAGGCTGTTTTGGTATAGTATCTAATATCTATCTAGTATTGTTTTCTGCTCTGTAGGCTTTCTCCCAACCGAGTTATGAAATTTTTCATAAAGCACTGCTTTTTTAGAGAACGCCCCGCCCACCGGGGGTGGGTCTCCCTAATTCGATGTGACTTACCAATGCACACCTTTACCCACTTTTTGGCCCAGTTTCGAGGTTGTTTTGTCACTGAAATTGAAATCTTGGTCTTCGGTACACTTCATTTCGACGCACGCCACGCCCACTGTGGGCGGGGCTCCGCTTAGCTGATGTGTTTTTTCTACTTCGTGAGACCTTTCCACACTTGACCGCG